AGGTCTTTTCAAGTACAATATTGCAACAAACATTTATTGTCGAGTTTACCATCCACAACCAGGTGAGTTTGGTTTTCCCCTGAAACATACAATCTAGTTTTGATACGATTGTGGGAATCGTTCTTTGATGATGTTTTATGCTCATCATTGCTCTTCCTTCCGTTTCCGCTTCTTTTACCACAAAACTTTCGTTTTCTGAATTTTATTCTTCTCAATGTGAAGCTGATCATGAAGAGGGAGGTGGCCGAGGGAATATGCCCCTCTTACGACACCTGTATCCATATTTGTCTCTAATTAATACTATTCTCCATTGTACTCGCCCTTGAAGTAGCTCGGCTTTTTTATCTGACTGGTCATGTAAAGTCAGCGTTTTCATCCTACTAGACAGGTCTGTGCCAAAAAAAATGTGGCCGAAAAGGTGGAAGAAGTATCAGAGAAGTATTTATTATCAGTATCACCTATTGAAGAAACCTATTTAAGATGTGTGACGATTGTCGCCGAGCGGAGGCAAAAGACTTTTGGCGAGCTTGCGTGCAAGTCCGGCAAAAGGCCGAGTTCAAGAAAACCCTTTTCTATCTCGAACAACTTCTGCTCAAACACAGTGTAAGAGTTTTTTGTATGATTCTGAATAGGCAATGCTCGGATTCGCTGCTAAGATCGTTGCTCCTCTAGAACATTATATTTTCGGAGTTCAGATGTTTAGGCCCACAGCCAATGCACAGGAGTGAAGCCCGTTCCAACTGGAATCGATTTCTTTTTCGCCAAACTTCAGGACGCTAGGAAATTCGTTGATTTCCTTATGATGGTGTTACCTTGTAGATACCATTATGCTCAGGCAAGCTTTATTTTCTGCTAATTTTTTCATAGAAGCTGAAACAGCTTTGAACACCCATTTCTTTAATCGAAAACGTTTAGGAACTAGTTTCACATGACACGAAAAATAATACCTATGACTACAAACACACGTTCTGTGTGGAAATTGTTCACATATGCAGGTCCGCTCGTTTTCAGTAAAATCTCTTTGGATATTACCGGTGTTTTTAAAGGAATGTCTTTATAGAGACAATATAGTGTGCATGCCTAAAAAAGTTGCCCAACATCTGGGTAATATGAGTCAGATTGCGATTTGCTTACGTGTATCTAACGTCATCACTCTTATCGATCCAAGCAACCTACAGATGGCGGATGTACAAGCGTGAGTTCATCTATTCTGGACATGCTATTTACAATCGTTATGAATTTTGTTCAGGACCTCGTTTTGGCGGGATCCGTTCGATTCGCTTTGCACACCTAAGCAGTTGTCCGAGTTTTACGTATTAGATGTGGAAAGAGTGGATAATTTGGACAGAAAAGTAAGTGGTTAACCGCTATTCTGCCTAGATATGCTTGTTGTCGCAGTTCTGAACTATTTTCAAGGCTGGTCATGGTTTCATCAGCAAAAAACATGTACTGGCGGATGTGTGGCTTGTGAGGAGTCATCAGGTAATTAAATTGTACTTTTATCCAAATAGATTTCACTTTTTTGTGTAGGCGACGGGGCTGTAATATTCGCGATAATCCCGAGTGGTTCTCAATACTCCATCAAAACTTTGATCTTTCCAAAAATCCTCTCTTCGGATCTCGTTGGAGATCTGTTAGTGTAAGGGAAAAGAAAGCATGTAAAACTCAGTACTTTGCCGCCAAACTCAGAAAAGTCAAACAAGACACTTCAAATCAACAGCCTCGATATTCATTGTGGTAGTCATGGGCTTTGTTCCTACTTTACCTCCTCGGAGTTTTTGTCATTCTGTTTTGCTATCTGCCCGAAATCATTAGCAGATAATAATATGGTTTGACGTGTTTCCTTTTCGTAACAGCAACTCGAGCAGGTGCTAAGTGGGTTGGGGGGGGGCGACCAACGTGGCGCCAGGGTGAATATCGCTTGAGGATTCCTCAACGGCACGTCGAGGATTCTCTGCCCGATCAGACACGATCTCTCGCGCGGACATTCACACGCGCATGGGCGTGCCGTCTGTGCTCTCCGCGCGGATGTTCACTCTCGGCACTACTCTCGCATGGTAGAGAGCTATGGTCGAGGAAATCCTCGACCGTTATTCACCCTGGCGGCGGCGCGACGCCCTCCTCCTTCAAGGATTGCCCGATGGCGCGTATTTCGAAACTGCCACGTGGTGACGAAATAGTAACTGCCCCTTGGACTAAGCCTTGGAGGAGCAGACGAACAGAGCGCCGCGCCGCCGCGTGGTCCCCCCCCCCAACCCACTTAGCACCCACGAGCAGCCGTGACAATTTGTCCTTTTCCCTTCTTCTCCAACATGCCCTCTTCCGAAAACTACTGCCAGTTCCACCCCTTACGGCTTTCTTTAAAGAGCCAAATGATGTCCTTTTATCGAATGGACCTCGCATTTGCTTATCCCGCTCTAACATATTGGCGATGACCTCTGAAAAAGACTGTATGACCAGGTTTCCGAATCGTTAGCTCACTCATGTGCGCTCGTTGTTCTTGGAAGGAGGCCATGTGTGATACTAAAAGTTCAGGTTGGAATGTCTGACGCGCAAACGCTTTCTACACGCACCCATTTGGGGCATCTGTTGAATCCTGGAGACCTGGTCATGGGTAAGTTTGACTTAGTTTTTCAAACTAAGTGAAGTTTTCTCTGACTAAGTGCAATTTAGCGTTTGATATTCGCAATTGTAATGTGAACAATACTGTATTTGACGAAATGAAGCCCGAAGATATCCCAGATGTTATAATTGTGAAAAAGGTACTCCTTTGGTATAGTATGTATTAATGCTTCTCATTTTCAAACCGATGATTTATTATTAGGTGTATGATCGTGCTCGAAGACTTGCCCATCGAAAATGGAAGTTGAAACGTTTGGTTGTAGATGGTAACATCGTTGGTAATGAAACTGAAAGTGTTGCAGACGAGTTCCAGAGGTAAGGAATCGCTTATTATGTCCAGGAAAAGGAGTTTTTTTTTTTTCCTTAATGTGAACTCTTGTCCAGGTTTATGGAAGACGTAGAAGAAGATCCTGCCTTGCGTGAGAAGATTAACATCTACAAGGTAGCAATTCATTCAAGGTCTCACATGATTTTTTGTGATCTATATCTTTATAGGATGAAGAACGAATAAATCAAGCTGTTGATAGCGATGACGAAGCTATACCTGATGCACCTACTCTTGCTGAAATGTTGGATGACCTTAACTTTGAGGACAGTGAAATGCAGGACGTAGCCGCTGAATCATCGCAGGAAGAACCGATGGATAAAGTTTAACTCCTCATGATCTTCTAAAACTGATAGAATTGGAGTAATGAAATCAATCCGAAAATGTATTGTAATTATATATTGAATCGTTTGATTTGAAAGCCAAGTTTGAACTCAGGCTGTTGAACTTCGGTTGGGCCGTTTAGCTGGGGAGGACTATTACTAAGAAGGGGTAGTTTTCACATGGCCCTTGCAGAAACTTTTCAGACAATCTTGCTATTCCGAAAGAAAAAGGTTTCTAAATAGCCGTCTGTGAAAGCTCCATGATCACTTGTTTTCTTTTTTTCTACTTGTAAGTGAAGTCGCATAGCCGAAGATTCTTGAAAATGTTGTTCTGTAATAGCACGATGACGTTTGTGACCTGACTTACGGCACCACTGCATGGTGGTGATCCTGAATCCTCCAAGTGAGTAACTTGGGAATTTGATGTTTATTTCGTTATTTTGTTGCCAATGTTGTTGTTATTTCCATACAAAGTTGTTATGCAGTCAAAGTTTTATCGCGGCTTATTCACAAGTAAATATCCCGAGTGTTATTTAGTTATATCTTTGTGTTGGAGGATGTAGAACCTCATTTTCTTCTTACTGTCAATATTGGAACATCACCACAATGATGAGCACATTCCAAATCGCTCGATTTCCAAAAGATGCCCTTAACAGCTTGACTGCATAGAGTGTGATTAATGACAGGGAGGAATTAGAGTACGTGAGCAATTTTCATTTTCCCACACTTTCCGTCGCAAAGCCTCGCCGGCTCTAAAAACCGCCGCGTGGCCGTTTCGTTCTGTCATTCCCGCCGGAACCGTGCAGAAGAACGGCTAAAGTTAAAGGCACCTCCACGCTTAGGCGCGCTTGCCTCTTCCATTCGCGGGGGTAGTACAGGACAAGGCGGAGCTTCAAGGCAGGTCGCCGCCGTCGCGTATGAGAATCCTCGACCACGTCAGCAGGGGGGGGGTTCCGTCGATTGCTCGCTAAGGGTGGAAGACGCATCGCGCCAATTCTTGTGCATGGAATAATTACCGTCGACAGACCAAAGTATCAAGGGGAGGAGACAAATATCAAGGATGAGTCGATGCCAGGCCAGAGGATTTCCAATGAAAATATGATATTTCACCCACACAAAATTTTCGTGATTCTGAGGCGTCCGGTAATTCTTAGTTACTTCAGTGTTTTATCACCACACAAGTTAAAGAATCTGAATTTCGCACGCTTTCCAAGAGATATTTCATCTTTCAAGTAAGACCCCGAATCTGAAGGGATGTGAGGTACACGGCGCATCCGAGAAAGGGTCTAGTTGTTGCGCGCGCTTCAACTACGGCTCCTTGGACAAACAACCTCAATTCAGGAACAATCGAGAGAATTCTGAAAGTGTCCGTGCGCATTTACAGGGAGGTGTACACCATTCAACATTGCGTTAACGGACTCTTCAGGGTTAAATTTATAAACATGTAACCTTTAAAGTTGAGAAACGCTAATCAATCACTTTTCTTAGAAAGAGAAAAGCAGTGATTTCAAAATCTGCTCTTACTTTAGTACATAATCGCCCTTAAAAGGATATACAGCCGTTGAAATAGTGCCAATGTAGCGAAAAAGTACCTTTCGGCGGTACTCGTGCAAAATCCTCAACGTAGCCGTTTTTTTAATACTGGACGTTTGGAGCAGTTCTAGTAAGCATTTGATAGAGCAAATCTTCTAGTTTATGATGGCGTATTTACTTTTTCGGATTGGATGAGTTTGAACGGAGTTATGGCTTTAGGAAGTAAAAAAACTCGCACTCCATCACAAATTTTCCTCGTTAATTTTGCAAAAATCCTCAACGTGGGCATTTTTCGAATACTGGACGTATAGAGCTGCTTTAGCAATGGTTTGGTAGAGAAAATCTTCTAGTTTTGTCTGCCATATTAACTTTTCGAATTTGACGAAAATGAAGCAAGTTGTTGCTTCGGAAAGTGTAAAAACTCGTGCTCATCTCGAATTTTCCTCGTTAATTGACCTAAATTTGTTATTTCTTATAACTTTTTGTAATTTCAATACTACTGATTAGAAAAAGCTCTTCACAAAACTTCCAAATCTGCTTTCAGATTGAAAATTCGTCATATTTGAAGAAAGTTATAATCATTTGAATATTTGTTCAAATTTCAATAGTAAATAAGCTGCTCCACGGTCAACGCCAAAGTCCAGTCAACACACAGCTGGCGAAGGCGGTTAAAAAGCTTCTTTCAACTGAAGGGCTACGTGCAAATTGAGAACCACAATCTGTGTAGTACTAGAATTTGGTAAGTCTTGTGGAGGAAATAAATAAAGAAGAGATGTTGTCATAGTATGCCATTTTTAGTGGCTAGTTTGTCGTTTTCTGGTCTGTTTCTCGTTTGCTCGTTTGGTAGGACTCATCAATAATGATTATTCTTTGACTTTTTCACTTTTGTACTTCTTAAACGAATTTTTTGTGGGCGGTGGGGTAGCAGGGCTTTTTTATGAGCAGTTTTGGGGGAGAATTAAACAAGCTTTTCAACCTTTTCATAGTTCGGCTTTTGAAGAGGGTTGTTTCATGGACTTCGGCCTCCGGCGGAGAGGTGGTGGGGGGGGGGTCGTATTTCCAAATTTTCCTCAACGCCTCGCTTGACCCTGCGGACAAGTGTTGTTGTCGCACCCCTTTTGCCGCTTGAAAGTGCGCGACAAAGGCACAAGCAGCTCGTCCGACCTGCAACTCACACCTTCGTCCGCAAGCCCCACCCTCCGCTGTCCGTTGCCACGTGGCGCTGCTTGAAAAGCGCGGGCGCATTTGAGGCAGCGGTCCCACCGCGATCCTGTGTCAATGGCACTGGAGCAACTAGAGTCAGGCTGCGGAAACTCGTCCTACGCGCCTTTTGGAAGCGACGCTCATCCAATTGTGGAATGTTGCTCGAAAACAATAGGGGAATTCACTGTACGCCGTAATTCGGACTTTTACGTTGCACTTTTCTCACCTCCACTTTTTATAAGCAGCAACTCTCCCACCTGCTAGTATCATGGCGTTGACCGCTCTAGACACCTATTTTATATCGTATAGCATACATTTAACTCAGAAAAACTACTTCTTAGCCAGTCCTAGGGCATTTTCTAATCGTCTGTGCTCTAGTCATCGCGGCAGGACCATTGAGGAAAAATCAAGTAGTCGGTAAACCTTCTTATTGTTAGCACTTCATGATTAATATGACCTCAGCGACTTTAACCCATTTGCAAGACTGCCCAACGGCGCTCATGTCTTTGGGGGGGGGGGGGGACATCCAAGTGAGTGAGCCAATTACCGTGCTTGGGACTAAGCCCTAGGAAGTGGAAGGGATCATGGGGGAACATGTGTGCAATTTGTGTTTTCCGTATTCCTCCCCTTTACCGGGCTCAGTCCTAGCCTCACCAACCATCGGCTCTGTTTTGAATGTCCTCCGGAGGCAAAAGCACGTTGCGCAACGATATTAAAACGCGGCTGCCGCGTGTACGGGTGTGACTCGCTAGGACAGAAAGCGAATTTCCGCTCTTGCAGCGCGAAACTTTTTTCGCTGCGGGAACCTCAACCCACCACTGATCAGAGGTGGACCTGAGGTTCCCGCAGCGAAAAGTTTCGCGCTGCGAAAAGCGAAAATTCGCTTTCTTTCCTAGCGAGCCACATGCACCTTGCATGCACTGCAACATATGTTTCGCATTGCCGTGGCTTTCACGTTTTAGATCTTTTTCGGTTGCCTCCATGACTTCTTTTCGATGAATTGCGCGAGCTTTTCTGGAACTTGACAGGTCGTTTATGTTGCCGGTATGAAACTTGTCTTGACAAACTAGTCGAAAGCTTTTCTTTGGTTTGACTTCTGTGAGGTGAAGTGCTTTTTTCACGAAAAGTCGGTTTGAATCATGTTTTATTGGGTAGCCATAAAAAAGTTGTGCTCCACTGCGAATGCACGAAATGTACGAAAGTGCGCAAAACGCCTAGATAGAAATGGCGTCCGCCAAATCGCGACGATGGTGAATGCGGCGATTTCTACGGAACTTCCAGGCCTTCTATTGCACTTTCCGCATTGGTGCGAAATATGAAAGCAGCCTCATGCTTCATTTGTTTGATGCGGGAGTAGCGCTACAGACAACCGTCATGGGATTTGTACCGTGTTGGGATGCCTGCACAACAATCAGAATATTTGAAGGTTATTTAACGCATTGACAGCGCCCGTTTTGCCTTTTTTTGGCTACGTGGGACAGGCGCGATTTTGCGAGTATGGTCGCCTAACCCGGTACCCGTAAATTTTGTGTGCTAGCTATGCAAAACATGACTGGCACAAGAACATTTCAGCAATGTTTTGCAAGAATGTTGGGTACGAACAAAATCTTCGTTCAGGACTCGAATCCGGGACTCGAACCCGCACAACTCGCTTAGTGCGCATGCGTTGGTCGTTTGATGCGATTCGTAGCGATCGTGACGATTACGCACCGTTAGACACCCATCGTCCAAACCGCGAGACACGTCTGACGATCGATACATATCCAATCGGATAT